GCTAACCTTCTATTTAGTGATAAGTGCATTTGTTTTCGTACATATCTGGTACTTAATAAACATGTCACTTGACATATAGAAGAGTCATGTCACTATATAACATTAATAAGTCTCTTCCTTAATAGTTGACAGTGTCAGTGGGGATGCATTCTGGATTTATTTATAATTCTGGGTAATTGGACTATCTTGATTATAAGGAGAATATAAGTCTCATTTTAGTTTTAGGTGTTTTGTTTTGTTTTGTTTTTGGATTTCTTTTCTTTTTTTTTGGAAGTAGGATTTACTGAGGACAGAAAAGCTCCCAGAGTGGGAGGGGACCTGAGGGGGTTGCCCCCCCCCCTTTTTGGATTTCTAAGTCAAGTTATACCCCTGTTGTTCAAAAATCTAAATTTGTTCTTTGTCTTTTAGCATTGCTCCATGTGACACATCGGTATTGTAACATCAAGGGATATACTTTTCTCTAAATTGAATGGGATGAATCATGCAATTTTGAACTTGGATTTTTCCCTTTCCCTAATAAAGATAGGTTTTAATTCAGTGAATAAAGAAACTCTCATTTGGAAGTCAATTGTGAGGGAGTGAGAATAGAATAGACAGGTCAGAGAGACAGCTCATTTTATTCTAGACGTAACATTTACTGCATAATCTTTAGATGATGTGTATATTTTATTATTCTTATGGAAAGGAATATAGATTATAATCTCTATCACTATACATATCATTACCTGTCATCTTTTAACTTAAAAGAAGGAATAAAATTGTTTCCCAATTGTCACATAACCACTCCCTTCAAAACATTTCATATTATTTCTTACTGTAGAAGACTGAGACGGAGTGTGTATGTGTGTGAATACCTCTTATTGACTTGGTTAACTGGTAAATGTGTCAACCTTATGTGATACCTTTAACCCAGACTATAAAAATTGGGGTTTTTTTTGAGTTGGAGTCTCACTCCATCACCCAGGCTGGAGTGCAGTGGCATGCTCACAGCTACCCCAGCGCTGACATGCTGGGCTCCAGCAATCCTTCTGCCTCAGCTTTCCAAGTAGCTGGAACTACAGGTGCACGCTGTCACACCCGGCTAATTTTTGTTTTGTTGTAGAGACGAGGTCATGCCAAGTTGCCCAGGCTGGTCTCGAACCCGCGGGCTCAGGCAATCCACTCACCTCGGCCTCCCAAAGTGCTGGGATTATAGGCTGAGCCACTGAGCCCGGCAAAAATTGGTTTTAATAAAGGAAGATGCAACACAGTGTTTAATTGCTTCAACTTATTGGATTAAAAAGAGAAATCTATTTACTATGTATTTAATTTCTTTCTAAGCAGTAGAGCTTCTGTGGGTACTGTTCTACTAAAGCACAGATGCCTGTTCATGAGATTCCATGTTCATCAATATCAATAAGTATGGACTTTGTGTACTTGTATGTCCTAGATGCAGTCATGCCAGGAACCTCCTGTCTTGTATGGGTGTCATGAAGTGAATGGTTAAAAGCTCTTCATAGGAGACTGGTTTATGTCTCAAAACCTGGGTGAGACTATTTTAGTGGGTTTGGTAGCAGAGTGATGAGTATAGCTAGGAGAGTAGCTTCAGATTTGTCATGATGTATCCTGTCAGTGTGACTTCTTAGCACTTTGAATTTATTCAGTTTCTCAAGTGGTAAGTATTGACACTGCCTGATATTTACTGGGTTTCATCTTAAGGGGTAAATAGTAAGGCATGCAGTTAATTCCATATTTTCACTGTGGTTGCATAAATAAAAACAGACTATCAATACTGTTTTATAGGTTATGGGCTCAAAAAGAAATTAAGAATAGCTTTTAATAGAAGTTAGATACTTTATGTTGTTGATCCTGAAGGAGTCTGCTTTTATATCTTAAATATCTTTTAAAATTGATACATCAGGATAGATCCAATGGCAATTTAAAACTTTTCTTTGAAATATTTAAAATTTTCTTTAAATGTAAGCTTTGTAGAATGTCTAGTTTCTAGCCATTTTAGATGTCCTTTGACAATTGGGAACACTGAAACTATCCCAGGAGGCTTTAACTGTCAAGATTATGACTTGGGATTTTATTGGAAATGACTATTACAGCCTTGACCTTTTCCCTTCTCTATATTGGACAGGATTTTTGTCTTTTTTAACTTTACGTTTTTCCTGAAGTAGCCGCACTTGGCATGAGTTTTATAAAAAGCCTGTGCCTTCAGCATTGTGTAAATATTTGTTTTACAGAGCCATAAGTGTGATCCTTGGTGACAGGTGGAAGAAAATGAAGAATGAAGAGAGGAGGATGTACACATTAGAAGCAAAGGCTTTGGCTGAGGAACAGAAACGTTTAAATCCTGATTGTTGGAAAAGGAAAAGAACCAACTCAGTACGTTTGTTTAAATTTACCTCGACTTATCTCCATAGGTGTACTGACATGTGGGAGCAGGTGGCAAACCCTTCAAAAGGTGGTGTTGATGCCATTTTGTAGTATTTTTGTACTTCAAAACCTAAAAATGTTTCACATCATCATAGAAGTCTTTCTTTTCATCAAGGACCATTTACTTTCGCAGCCTGGAAAGTAAGATCTCAGGCAAATTACAACATGCTTGTCCTAATGTCGAGGTGGAAAAATAATTTTGGCCTGCAGTATTTTTCATTAGGGTGAAAGATGAGCGTTAGTGCCCCGTCAACATCGCAGTGAACATGTCTCTAGGTTTCGGTGGCATGTCTCCACAGCCTTTCTTACCCGGTGAGGGGCTGCTGAGGGTGGAGCTGTGTGGCGACGTTAACCAACATTTCCTAGATCTGAACACCTCGAGGGTAGGCTCAGGCGGGTGGCAAGCAAGTCAGCACCCTGGTCCATCTCAGGTGGACCGATTCTTCTAACTTTTCTATTACTGAACTGGCATCTTTTTAGATTCAGCATTTTTAGGTTAAATATGAGAAAATTTCATGTGATAGAATAGAATGAGCACAATTTGAAATATTATAAGGAAGTGAAGAGATCTGTAGTTCCAGTAGGAGGGCTGGACAAGGATATTTTATTTTACTGCTTTATTTTTACATTTATTTTAGATTGAGTGGGTACAAGTGCATGTTTGTTACATGGACACTGCGTACTGCTGGGGACTTGTTCTTAGGTGGCCCATTTCGCTGATAGTGAACATCATACTTGATAGGTAGCTTCTGAACACTCACTGCCCTCCCCATCTCCCAACTTTTAGTGTCCCTGATGTCTATTATTTTGGCCAAGGATACTTTAAATTCATTCTGTGCATGTAACATGCAAGCCACATATGTTTAAATGTTTCAGAAATTTCTTTTTAAAAAGTCAGTGGTCAGATGGGTGGGTGGCTGAGCTGGGTCGTGGAAGTTCTTTGTTAATTTGGAATTTCATGTGGTAGGATTTTCCTGTATACCCTTTCTTTTCTGTTCCTCCTAGTCCATCTCTTAGCATGTCATAAAGTTTCTGAAAGCTTGAACCATCAGATATTAGGAAACTTTAGAAAAAAATCACCTTTTAGAAAACAATATTTTTAACAGCAAATTTATAAACATCTGGCACAGCTTTCACATATAGGATTGCTATGTAGTGATCTGTAAATACTCACTGAGTTTAATTTTATTTCCACAGGGCTCACAACAACATTAAACCAGGAAGCTTATGTTCTTAAGTCTGTATTTGCATAAACAGTGACTTCATGGAAAGACTTAAGAAGATCAAGGTCTCACTGTATGTCCTGAATTTGTTTGACCATAAGATACTGATAGCATTGAGTCTTGAAATGGTTTAATAATATGAGTGAGGGTTTGCTTTCTCCATTAGAGCATTAAGTAAGCTAAAACTATCAACATTGTAAACCAAATTGCCTTATTTTTCTTCCAAACTTCATATATGTCTATCAGGTAATATAGGCTTGAAAATTGATATCCTGTGGTGCTAAAGTACACTAGAAAGAGAGGAGAAGTGTATACATGTTTTATTTTAAATTGTACGAAAGGGGAACTTAAAATATGTAACTGCTGTTTATACATTGGCTCCTTACTGCTTATTAATCTGTATTGTACACACGATGGAGTGAAGCAGAGGCTGGAGTCGGCCCTTCCTCGAGCAGCCACCACATGGCTCAGCATCTGTGCCAAACACAGGCGCTCCTAGTGTGGCCAGTGCCAAGAGGCTACCAGAACATGTGGCAGGTGGCTGGCATTGATGTCCCGGCCTAAGAGCCACCTGCTGCAGTTGCCATGGCTTGCTGAGTTGATGCACCAGGTGGCAGCAGCCATCCATGCTTGCTGATGGAGACCTAGCCCAGGCCAAGGTAAAGTTAGTTAATAGCATTGGGATATAGTCACTGTAATGGTGCTATTAACAGTCGACACCATTGTATTTTTAACTTTGTGTTCTATATCTCCTCAGCCACGTATCTTCAGTATATTTTGTCATCATATCTTTATGGTGGGGGCAGACTTTGCACTTAATGCAGTGCAACACTTGCACTTTACTTTTCCTCCAACTGTCGAAAATTAGAGCAAGTACATTGGCAATACAGCTGCTTTGCTCTGAGCTACAATCATGGCTTTTCATGTTACTTACCAAGTGGTGTTTCTGGTTAGGAATCACAGCTGTAAAATTGATTTCAGTTCATTACACTTCATGATGTTGCCCCTAAATTTTGCACACTATATTCTTGTATATTATTTCAAATAAAATGGAAAAAAAAAGTTGTTTACTTCTGACTTCTGCTGATTGATCTTAACAGCGTTTTATGCATTTGCCAGACTAACAGGTGTAGGGATGGAAAATGTAGGCAGACTCCTAACATTCACAATTAGGAGGTTGCTGATGGGATTTAAAAAATTAAAAACTAAAGTGTTAGTAGTGGAACAAGGGAAATAAGGTTAGGACTTAGATTATCTACTATTTATAAAGAGTTTTCGTAGAATTAACATTTGTGGTTTTCATTTGTCATCTTTGTTTCAAGGATAAACGGCCCCAAAAGTCTGTTTTTAATAAAAGACAGTGTAAAGAAGATTTGCTTTATTTAAAGATACAGTATGATATAGTCAAACAAGAACATTTAACCCAGTATTTTAGCTTTGAGATATGCCAGTGGTTTCTAGGCTTTGTTACCTATTGAAGTCACTTTGGAGATTTTTTTTTTTAATGCCAGTGCCTCCCACTCCCAGACATATTAATTAGTGTGGAGTGCAAGTTGGGCATCAGGATTTTAAAAACTCCCCCGGTGATATGAACGTGCAGCCAAATTTGGGAACCACTGAGCTACATATTCAGCGAAGGAGGCAGGTTGGGGGAAGCAGGCTACATATTACGTAACTTGATTCTATCCCTTGAAAGGCAGTGAGGACTCTGGGTATATGTACCCCTAGGGGGACTCAGTGATACCATGGGAAAGAAATTTCAATAAGCCTGGTACAAAAATCTGAAAGAGGAAAAGAAGATATTTTTCCTGAAAAATCAGGTCCATGGCGTTTAAAGGCTGTGATGACGGGTCTAGTTAGATGTGTTTGCTCCTTAAAGTGGAATAGAGAACGATCGGTAGGAAATGCAGAAAACCCAATGGCATTCCTAAGACAGTGGGCAGCAGCTGCCTTTCAGAGTATGTTACTCAACTGCCAGCTTGGATGGGTTAGCACAGAGTGGACGTAACAGATTCCACATGTCACTGAAGAGTAGACATGGCTTCTTGAAGCAGCTGAACCATTATGGGATACACTGGTGCAAATTCTTTGCCTTCTCTACTTTTCACTGATTGAACATAAGCTTCCAGGGCTCCCCTGAAAACCAAAAGGAAAACAGTGTTAAATACTGCATGAGTTACATGAAATAGATTAGGGGTCCCAGTATGTAAAATTCGAAATAAGCTCGTTCCTGGAACTGCTGTGCTCAGTTCTGCAAGCCAAGTGACCAACAGCCAGTTACCAAGTAATGTGCAAAGCATCCAGAAAGATTGAACATTTTTTGATAGTGTTGCCATGGTTATGACTGTTAGCGAGCTAAACGAGAACCACTTTTTCAGTCTGCATTTTTCTTAGAGGTCTAATACACCGAGCCCTCTGGCCTGTAAGTCTGCGCTCAGTTTCCCTTTCCCCCCTTCCCTATTAAAGAGACCTCTGAGAGGCTGCAGGCAGCTTGTGCCTGTTGGCAGAGCTCGTGAGGGGCAGCCTGCATCTTGGAAAGCCATGCTCAGGGCACTGGGGGTGAGCCCTTTGGCACACACAGCAACACTAGCAGGTGCGTTAGATTCCTGTTATCTGGTGAACTATGAACAACCCACAACCAGAATATTAAGTACTTGGGCTCTAATTTTTGGCAAATTATATGATGAGAAAGGAGTTTCAATTGAATCAAGGGTGTGTGGTACCATTCAGTATCTGTAATGTTCTCAGGAATTGGACTGAGGGTCAGCAAACTGCCTGCAGGCTAACTCCAGCCTGATGGTTTTTCGTGTCTGTGTCGTCTATGGCTGCTTTCACGCTATGGTGGCAGAGTTGAACTGTTGAGGCAGAAACCATGTGGCCTGCAAAGTCTAAAATGGATTTGGCCCTTTACATAAAAGCTTTCCTGTCCCTGAACCAAATCATCTGTTTAAGTAGAGCTTAAAATAACAGTTATAAGGCAGTTAACTTTTAATTACTGGTTTATTTAAGTCCCTGGAATATAAATTGTCATAATTTTCTTTAAAATTTCACACTTTGAAATGAGAGCATTTCTATAAAGATGTAAGTTAATAATTGCTCAGCTCACATAGTCAGTGGTTTTTTTTTTTTCTCTGAAACATTAAAAATATTAACCCTTTGTCCAGTTGGCATGATTTGTCATTGAACTGTGGGCGGTACACTTGCCTGGCATCTGGCCATCTCACTGCTCACTCTGCAGATCCCCTCCTGTCCCCCAGCCACTGTCATCCATAAAGGAATTCCAGATCTTCTAGCCCTTTCCTCCCTCCTGATTTGTTTCCACCTGTCCTCTGGGCAGCTTTATCTGATTTTGCTTCCAGGTCGCCTTCAAACTCACCGGTCAAAAACTCAGGGCAGTGTTCGACCCACCTTCCCTTTACTTCAACAAAGGCCCCCTATCCACAGGTCTCTATCTAAAGTTCTCTTCCCATCCACACCTAATCAGTTACCAGATCCTGTTACTTCAGAGCACACATTTCCGCATCCAGGCCCTCCTCTCCCTGCTCGCGCCACCTTACACCCCAGTGATGGCTGTTGCCTCTTAGGCGAGGTCAGCCCTGTGCTGTCTCCCTGTCCTGGTCGGGCTTCCACACTATAAGAGCTCTCTTCCTGGAGTGTGACAGCCCTTGCCATGTCCTGCTCCCTAGGGGACAGTGCCTAACCTCAACCCAGCTGAACACCAGCTTCGTCGTCAGCCTCCCCCAGCCCTTTCATGCTACTGCGGAGTTTTAGGCAGCTCGATGTGGCTTAGAGAGACCCTTGAGTCATTTGTTTCCATTTTTCAGTTACCAAGTAATGTGCAAAGCATCCAGAAAGATTGGAAATCATTTATAAGTCTGAACAAAGGTCTGACTTCTGTATCGACAGCCTTGACTTAGGAGGATCCAGCATTTGGAATCCCCGAGGGCTCGTCCCACGTTCTGTTCAGAGCAAGCGTGCTTTCAATCAGCTACGCAGAGAGACGGGCAGGCCCATATTCAAGAAGCATGCATAGCTTTTAAAATAAGTTTTGTAATTAATCCATTGCTCGGCTCACATACTTAGTCCCAAATCCCATTTCCACAATTCTCAACTAGCATGTAAGATGGAATTTAATGCTCTTAGAGAACAGTGTTTTGTGAGATGCCTGTGTTCAAGTCAAAGCTGACCATTGATGGAGCTATTTCTCTATGAATAAACTTGCCTCTTCCTAGTTGCCGTGCCATCCTAGCTGCCTCTGCTCCCCAGTGTAGTCCCTACGGATTCATGTACAGTAGAGAAATCCCCAAGGCCTCCGCTGTCTCTGAGACAATGGTGTGTAAGTATGAGATACGTGTGCTGAAATTCACAGAAACTGTAATTGTTCCATAGTGAATTTATCAGATTCATTCTATTTAATAAATGGGCAAAAATCAACTTAGTATCATCGGCATTTAAAAGATAAGCCACCACAGAAATTACATGATATGTAGCAGAAAACTCAGAAATGAGTTTGGTTAGTTTTTTTGCTATTCATCAAAACACCATCAGAAGTACGGGAAGAAAAGCAGATTAAGCTGCCCTCCCACATAAAAGCAGAGCAAGATTTTCAAGCACTTATTAAATCACTTCATTTGCTTCAGCAACATTAGCTTTCTTGGAAGTCAGGCCAAGCATTATGTAAGAGTTAGTCTCAACTCGAGTTTGTAACCAAAATAAGCAGATTATTGCAGTTATCCTTACTGGGGAAAAACAAAGCACAATTAGAGGAATGGCTGTAACGTGGCAACACTGCTCAATGTGACAGAAACCAGCCAAGTGGAGGTTTTCATGGAAACAAAGTTGATTTTTGTCAGGCATTAAATACTCAGTGTGATTTGTAATGAGATACATAAATGATTTAAAGATACCACATGAGGCAGTTATTAGCCCCAGGCTTTCCCCTGGCTCCACCCTCCCTCGTGGTCCCAGAACTGGTAGGTAGCTAGTGACAATGGAGTACCAGGAGGAGGAATATTACCCTCCATCAGGAGGATCTTGGAGTTTTGCAGGAATAGGGAAGAGCTGAGGGAACAGGTCCTAGCAAGGGATCCAAGGATGCATTCTCCGATGTCTATATGGATAAAAGTACCCTTGGGTTCACTGAATTCGTGAATGTTTTTAACATCATAAAAGTGTACTACTACCCAAAGAAGGCCATAACAAGACGAGTTGCTACTCCGCTGCAAATATCCAGAGTAAATGGATTTGAGGCCCATATCTGCAGAGCTACAGAAAGCTTTGCATCAAAAACTCATTCTTCATCTTTACTGAAAAGACAGTGGACACCTGTAGCTGCGCAGGAATTAGCCAGGCAGCCGCCTCTGCACCTGAGAGCAGGCGCGTGTCTGCAGCACGGCCTGGTCGGGGCCCGGGAGATCCAACTGCCCCCTCTCACACCTCTTGGTCCCATGAGTCAGTGATTAGATTACTCTGATTTTTAAATGAGCTTGACTAGTATTCACTCAAGCCCTAAGAAGCATCTGGTGTCATACGGAAACAGGAAGGCGGGAGAGAGTTCATCATTTGCCGTTTATTCAGCAGCAGTAGTTACAATATCCTCAATTTGCCCTACTTTATGACAACCTCACATATTATGCTGGGAGAAACAGAATGAGTATATGACAAGGTCTGCCCCAGAAGCTAGAACAAATTTACTGACATTTAAAGAGTAATGCTCACCCTTGGTTTATCTACAGGGAAAAGAAATTCATCCACTAATGCTTCAGTACGCAGGAACAAAATTTGTTTTGCAATAATATGTAAGAAAGAACATTCTCTAGGACAAACATCCCCTCCTTGCCAAGAGCCTGGGGTGCAGCAGGAGTGCAGTTTAGTTGAATCCCCTACGGAGGGCTCAATTTTCTGCTAAGGGCATGAAGGTTCTGGAATCAGCCATGTGTGGAAGGATGGGTAGGCCTTATTTAAAAAGCATGACAGTATTTTTGAGCATGATTTTCAGTTGCTAAATATAGGCTTAGCAACAGCACTGCTGATGAAATCACTCAGGAGACATTTTTAAAGAGAAGCAAAAGAAAACAGATTTGTGATGTACCCACAGCAAGACAACTGTTGTGGATGAACTCATTCCATCTTGTTAAGGAGACAAAAATGAACCCTGTTAATTAACTGAATCCTCTTCTCTAACCAAATGTGTTGCAGCTGAGTGAATCTTTGGGAGCTGGGGGAAAAAATCACCTGGACATTGCAAATCCCCGGGTTACCTGGCCCAGACTACCTCTTGCAAACCCAAACCCTTTTCTGAGGACAGTCTACTGGTCACAGCAACCCAGGGAGCCTCCTCTGGCAACCTTTCCCATTTCTGGGCCAGATGCTCGCAGCTGAGTAACAGAGAAGCAAGGAAGAAGAGCAGGGCCTGCGGTCATCTTCATCCACACAGGCGCCCAGGGGCCAGTGGCTCACATTGGATCTGGCACCAAGCTTGAGGGCTCAGGGCTGCTTCCGGAAGCCGACAGGCTGATGTTTCCTCGTGATCTCTCACAGCTTCCTCAGCAGTCTCACCTGACAGCTGGAATATGTCCCACTGCAGCAGAGTGCTGCATCCTTGGCTGCACCGCAGACCTGCCTGGGGTGCTATACAAAAATCCTGAAACCAGGTCATAACCCCAGAGATTCCGAGATTGCCAGTCAAGGGCATGGCCAGGACACTAGGATTTTTCCAGGCTCTGTAACTTACTCTTGTGTGCACACACGATTCAGAACACCGCACCACATCAGCCCCACTCTGGCTCTGGGAACCCCAACTCACCAGAGGCACAGGCAAAGACTTTCCGGTGCTGTGGCCCTCGACCAGCAGAACCAGGATCCCTCGGCAAGATGGGAATGGCTTCAAGAGCTACTGAAGAGGCACAGTTGACTGGACTTGGAGAATGAGGGGGACAGAGGAGTTGAATGATTGGCAGGTTTTCCGCTTGGCTGGTCAAGGAATGGTGACCTCCCAACCACCAGGAGGAAACATCAGCCTGTCTGCTTCCAGAAGCGGCCCTGAGCCCTCAGGGAGTATAAGAGAATGAGAAGGTTCGAGAGGAAAGATGACTTCTTTGACAACGGCGGGTCTGGGGCTTCTGTGGGGTGTCTGAGTGGCAGCATAGATTGCTGCAATCGGGAGAAGCCGAGCTGGGGGCCTCTAAGCACAGAAGGCGCACTAGAGGATGGGCTGGAGGAGTCACCCAGGTCAGACACAGCAGGGCGGGAAGGGCCAACACAGGAAATGGTGTTGCTGAGGAGTAAAGACAATGTAGCAAATGGCACAGGAAACAACTGGCAAGGAGTTAGAAACGGCTGACCATGGTGTGACGCTAGCCTGGAGAGGGCAGGATCATGGCTCTGTGCCATGTCTCTGTTCCTTAGTCCATGGCCTAGCATGCCAATAAAGTGTGAGCCTACTGTCAGGAAAAACGTGAGTCAGCTCAGGAGTTTAAAGAAGGTAACGAGCCGGGCTTGGTGGCTCAGTCTGTAATCCCCCGCCTGTGGGAGGCTGAGGTGAGTGGATTGCCTGAGCCTGCGGGTTCGAGACCCGCCTGAGCAGCAAGACCTCATCTCTACAATAAATCAAATAATCAGCCGGGCGTGGTAGCACATGCCTGTAATTCCAGCTACTCGGAAGGCTGAGGCGGAAGGATCGCTGGAGCCCAGCAGGTGAGGCTGCGGTGGCCGGGAGCGGCCACTGCACTCCAGTCTGGGCGACAGAGTGAGACTCCAACTCAAAAAAGAAAAAAAAAAAAAAAAAAGAAGGAAACGGTGGATAACTGGCTACAGCTGTACAGCAGTATTAGAATGGGCAGGTTTGGTGGCCAGGAGGTCTGGCGGTTTCAGAGAACACTGCCGGAAGAGATAACTAAGCTATGCCAGTCACAGCACCCCATCTTCTGCCCACGGCTGGGGCATATGCCATGTCCGCGCGCCCGAACGCACATGCGCACCTGTGTCCATGCATTCCTGGGCGCTGCTGGGGAGCACATGGCATCCAAGCGGCTGCTGGGCCGTCCTTGTTTCCTACTAATAACTATGCCCCCCTTGGGGGTTTTTAACAGTTCCCTCACATCTGTGCTCCACCAATTCCATAGCTGCAACACATGAAAATAGGCAGAAAACAAGAAGCTAGGGCACATCTCTTCACAGTGGAAGTTGGTTTTCAAAGGTTCTTTGGAGCCCTCCTTGGGAAATCAAAAAGCTGCACTCCTGGCGCACTCAGGCTTTTGGCAAGAAGGGAATGTCTGTCCTAGAGAATGTCCTTTCTTAAGCATTACTGCAAAACTAATTTTGTTCCTGCTCCCTGAAGTACCACCGGCAGGCGACAGCGCAAGAGGATGTGAAGGTGCAAGAGGATGAAAGACCCGGAAAGCCAGAGTCCTTGTGTCCAAATGTTCCAGCTGCCCCAAGTTGCAGTACGAGTCCACGCCACCCAGGTGCTGCTCATCATTGCCCTCTGCATCCCCCGCCCTCCCCCGGCTTCCAGCCCAGCAGTCCTGCACTTTACCTGATGAGGAGGAGCCTGTCCTTCTCAGATGGATGGTCATCCAGCCACTGGGAGAAGCGAGCCTGGGACCACTCTGCCCTCTGCGGGTGGAAAGGCAATTAGAGAAGTGGGCACGTGGGTGAAATACTCAGCAAAGGCCAAGTGCTGGTTCTGACTGTGCCCTCGAGAATGCCCAGGTGAAGCCGCCCGCACCTGCTGGGGACTGTGTGCAGAAGGTGGCCCGGGACCTGCTACCAGGGAGCCTTCTAGATCTGCCACTTGATGGCGGGTTGGCCAAGGTAACGCAGCCTCCATCAAAAAAGCTTTATGGACACAAATTACTGCATCATTACTATTATGTAAGGGGTTAACTCTAGATGTATCGGGTCATTTCTTACACTGTTGAGAGACCAGTTGCTGGGCAGTGGGGGTTTCCTTTCCTAGTCACTATTTACTGTTGAAGACAGATGCCCATGACTGAACAGGGAGGAGCCAGCAAGGACCATTCAGCGAGTGGGCTCAGGACTCACAGTCTCTGAGGAAAACTCACAGGAGGGCTCTGGCCTGACCGCTATTACCTGGAAGGGAGACTTCAGCTCAGAGGGTGCTCTCGTGAACAAAAACTGAATAATGATGCTGAATGGAATAATGTCCCCTAGGACAGGACTCTTGGCCACCTGCTCACTCGTCTGGAAGAGCAATGGTCTAGAAAAAAAGCAGAAGTTATTTCACACCATTCAATAATGAAAGAGGTGATTTGGTGGGAAAATCATTCTCCTTGAAGAACAGCATTCTTCCTAGACTGGCAATTGAAGGACACTGCCCCCACCTTCAGCCCTGGGACAGATGGACGGACACACACACACACACACACACACACACACACACACACACACACACACGCCTACCTTCCCATAGGCTGATCTATCCCTCAGCTCTTATTTGACCCCTAGTTCACTGGTCTACGGGTCTGATTTACTTCCAACTGACTTGGCAAAACTCCCTTAGAGTTCATCTAAACAGGCTAAAATCAAATAAAGCACAAAGTAAAGCCTATAAGTAGTTGTTATTAACAGATTATTATCTTGTCATTCCTTTTAGCCTATTCTATTCAAAAGAGAATTCTTCTTTGGGCTATAATCTGAGTAAACGCAAACATTTTCTATATAACTTTTCAAAGGGGCAAATATGTCTCTGAATATACAAAGTCATTATTCTGCTGAACATTCCATCAAAACTGTATGTCAGCTCTCTTTGTCTGAGTCTTACTGCCAATCAAGAAAGCTGTCCTTTAGAAATCAGAAATAAATAAAAACTGTCCAGGACAAAAAAAAAAAGCTAATGAAGTTCACCACCACCCGGTTACTTATTGAAACTGCTAAAGAGACTTCTTCCAGCTGATATGAAAGATTGCTAATTAGTAACATAAAATATATGAAAACACAAAAGTCAATGGCATAAGTATTACAGAGTCATATTCAAAATACTCTGGTGCTGTAAATGGTGGTTTGTAAAACAAGTTTATTTCTAATACAAGGGCTTAAAAAACTACTAAAAATTATAGCTAAAATAAAGGACACAAATTGCAAAATGATCTAAATTTTAACAGGAAAGTCATAAAATTTGTGGGGGGGGAAATAAAGTGTAGAGTTGCTATATGTGATCAAAGTTCAGTTGTTATCGGCTTGAAATATCTTGTTATAACATGTTTTTTGGGAACCCTCACGGTAACCACAGAGCAACAATCTCATAATGGAGGTATGAAACACATAAAAAGGATCCAAAGCATACAGAAAATCATCAAACCACAAAGGCAGACAGCAAGAGAGGAATAAAGAAACAGTTTCTGTTTGGGACAACATGCAGAAGAATAAAATTGGAACTTTATCTCACAACATATAAAAATAAACTCAAAATGGATTAAAGACTTAAATGTAAAACCTGAAACTGTAAAAATACTAGAAGAAAACGGGGAACACGCCATGACATTGGTCTGGGCAATGATTTTTTTTGGATTTGACCCCAACAGCTGAGGCAACAAAAACAAAAGCAGACAAATGGGATCACATTAAGCTAAAAAGCTTCTGCATAGCAAAAGAAATAGAGGGAAAAGGTAACTATGAGCTGGAAGAAAACATCTGCAAGCCACACAGCTGATGAGAAGTTAACACTCAAAATCTCTAATGAACACAAAAACTCAACAGCAAGAAACGACCTGACTTAAAAATGTGCAAAAAATATAAATAGACATTTCTCAAAAGAAGACATACAAATGGCTAAGAAATATATATGAAAAGTGTTCAAGGACCCTGAACATTTGCCATAATACTATATAAGAAAGGGATTGGCAATAGCCGGAAACTGTCAGGGGGTTGGCGGCACATAACATAGATGAAAGACAGTAGGTGTGGGCGAGGATGCAGAAAAAAGAGAACGCTTGCATACTGTTGGTGGAAATGAAAATTAATACAGCCGTTATGGAAAGCTGCATGGTAGTTCCTCAAATAACTAAAAACAGAAATACCGTATGATATCCTGCTTCTGGGTGTCTAGCCTAAGGACTTGAGATCGGTATGTCAAGATGATGGTTGCACTACTATCTTCACTGCAGCACTATTAGCAAGAGCCAAGTTGTGGAATCAACCTAAGTGTCCATGAATGAATGAATGAATAAAGAAAACATATATAAACACACCCAAATACTATTCAGCCTTCAAAAAGAAGGAAATCCTGTCATTTGCAATAACCTGGAGGACATTATGTTAAGTGATATGAGCCAGGCACAGAAGGACAAATACTTCATGAGCTCATTTATTTGTGGAATCTTAAACAATAGAACTCATACAGGCAGAGTAGAATGGTGGTTACTGGGGGCTGGAGGGAATGGGAAGGTGTTGGTCACAGGGTACAACGTGACAGAGAGGAGGGATATGCTTTTTGAGATCCATTGCACAGTGTAGTGACTATAGTTAGTAATGATGCGTTACACATTTCAAAATTGCTAACAAAGTAAATTTGTTATCACAAAAAATGCTAAATATCTGAGGTGATGGCTATGTATAGTTTGATTTAATCATCCTGCATTCTATAACATCACTTCAAATCCCATAAATATATACTATGAGCAAATTTTAGACACGTTAGCTCATTTATTTTTCCAAACAGTCTTGCGTTAGGTACTATTACATCCTCACTGTATGGATGAATAATTACAGAGATCAAGCCAAATTTAGAGGATTCAGACCCAGGCAGCCTGGTTCTTAAATCCGCAATGTAGCCTCTTTAAAAATTGCAACTACTTAGCCTATTATTAGAAGAAATATACTGATTGACAGCCAGAAACAAAGACCCCTGGAGAAAGTATAATTTCAAACTGTCAATAGTATGTACAGAAATACTTACCTGAGAAAATGTTTCCAGAATGATCATTTGAAAGTCATACGATTATCACATTTCTAGGTACTTCCAATTCTATCTTTGGATCAAAGTAGGCCTCTAGTCACTTACATACTTGAAGCATATCACACTAGTCTCTTTCAGAACTATTTTTACCTGGTGTGACCTTAACCTCCTTTGGGGTATGGGTGATGCTGTCTTAAAGGCCTCTGGAAGCCAACTCTGTCTTGGAATGAAGACGAGGTTGTATCCAAGCTCTGCTTCCCATAGACTAGTGACCTCTGGTCCCTAGTAGAGGAAGCTGAAACATCTCACAGCCCTATGGTCCCTGGGTGCTGAGTAACTGATATTCCCAGCCAGTCCCCTGAACCCCAAGCCCATGACACTAACCTGTCTGCTTGCTGCTCACTGACAAGGCTGTCCTCACGCTTGAGCTGCAACGGGAAAGAGGTGTACAAAGAAACCACAGACTGTGGGCCTGCCGTGCCCAGGCCCTCACAGGCGGCTCTGAAGGATGCAAGGAGGGACTGGTGGGGGGCCATGCCCTCACTTCTCTCCTGCTGTCCTTGGTTGCCCCGCTCAGGGCTACATCCGTCCTGTGAGTTTTCCCTTTCCCAACAAAGCCCCGTTTGCTCCTGCCACGTGATACATCTGGAACCCTAGTTTGAGACATGGAAGACTCAGGGGATCAGGCTGATACGACAGTCATTGATTGTTACTGAAGAGCAGCCACATGGAATCCAACACTGCCTCTGCCGCAGGAAGGTGACCATGAATTCTGGTCCCCCCATCTCAGTGCTCCACTCGAAGCTGCCTATACGAAGTACTTGTAAGTGCTTGAGAATTAAGTGCTAAGAAATGCTTAACTTTCTCATAGGAATTGATGTGTTTCATTCCTTCTAATAATGAGAATTAGGTAGTGGATTCTGTTGCTCTTTTAGTTTTGGCTTTATAAAGTGTAAAGTCAAGTCTAAAACTTTTCTATAGCAATTCAATTAGTTTTATGGTTTGAATAATTGTTTTTCTTTATTTTCCTCCAATATATTCTTGACGCAAACTGGACATGATACAAGGAAGCAAAGAAGGGCAGAAAGAGGAGGAGGACAAGAAGGAGGGAGACAGACCAGGAGAGGGAACAACCTGAACACACATGCCCTAACCACACATCTGGCAGCCCAGCCGACAATGTGCTTGCTGGCTAAGATGCCTGTGTGAGCCTGAGCTGGGGAAAACCAGCTCATTTTAAAATGAAACCTTTGGGTCAATCACCTGTCTCTTTGGAGCTCTGAGTCACAGCCGCTATTCTTCTGACAAGCCCTAATCTTTCACACTAGCCACCAGCAGGACTGTCAAAAGAGTCCTGGGAAGCAAAGCTGGTTTGATTCTGGATTACGTGTCACTGCCATGACAGCTCAAGCTCCCCCTTCTCCCTAATTCTAGGTGGAATTTGAAACACTCGCAAGTTAAAAAATAAATCACCACCTGAAGTGCTTTATGGAACAAAAGGAAATGAATTAAGGTATATAAAATGCAGATATCTTAAAGGCCACAATATCATTCCTAGAGAAGAACATTCTAATTATAGGAACACTTTCAAGGTTAAACTTTACAGCCAGAAGGTAGAATTAATTACTCAAGTATCATATCTCTAGAAAAAAATCGCATTTCTAGTCATGGAGATTCACATTTAAATGACTCGTGGCTGTGCGGCTATCAGTCTTCTGACAGTTTGTTGAGGCCAATCACCAAGTGAAGACAAAAGTCCTGCTGCTCCTGGTCCACACCCAATATCAGTGGTGGTGGGCAAGGCAGACACAGGCATCACTGCCCCTCTCATGCCAGCTGAACCACCCCTATCCTAACTTCTCTTGGTGAAGGGCCTGGGAAGCAGCAACACCACTGAGTGTGTGTCCTAAGAGCGGGAACCAGCAAGTAATGAAAGGGTGAAGATGGAACACAATTCTGTTCGGGGGACAGGGCACAGATGCCATCCTTCCTGCACAGGGCACAGCAAGTGCCTCCAAGAGACCAGTGCGGGAGGCCTGCAGGAGCTGAGGCCCTCCATAAAGATCCATTAGGGAGGCCTGGTTTGTGGCATGAGGAGCCATGTGGGTTCTGGGAGAGAACGAGGCAGGAGGCTGATGATCTGAGGTAAATCAGGGCTCAAAAGGGAGGGTAGTAAAGTTCCTTTCTCAGAGTCCAGGCTCTCCATCCCAGCAGGCCATGCAGGAAAGGAGGCAGGGGTTTCAGGCAGACATTCTCTGAGAATAAAACCATATATGTGCCGGGTGTTTCCAGGTCGTGCCTGG